TTTGCTCTATGCTTGTGAAACCTGGTCTCTCCGAGTTGAAGACGTTAGACGACTCTCTGTGTTCGATCATCGCTGTCTCCGAAGGATTGCTGACATTCAGTGGCAACACCATGTCAGTAATGCAGAGGTTCGGCATCGTGTGTTCGGGCACAGAGATGATAACTCAATTGGTGTCACCATCTTGAAACACCGACTACGGTGGCTTGGACATGTTCTACGAATGTCGTCCCAGAGAATTCCACGTTGTGCATTATTTGCCGACTCTGGGACTGGTTGGAGAAAGCGGAGAGGTGGTCAGTGCATGACATGGTGTCGTGGCATGAAAGAAAGCTGCAAAGGACTGGCTTGTGTTGGTCCTTCACGACTCCCTGGTTGGGGTCCGAGAGATGGTGCTACACAGTGGCTAGAGACGTTATCAGATATGGCTCAGAATAGAAGCCAGTGGCGATCCTGCTGTAACCTTCTTTTACTTTCTTCATAAAAAGTGGTTGTGTCTCCTTTACCTGAAAGATTTCTTCTGATTGTACCTCTTCGTCATTACTCTCTTTTTCTTTTGCGTTCCTTAGTTTTTTTTCTTTCTACTTCTCTTCGAATTCCCATTGTTTTGTGTGGCGCATATATATTGGCGCTCTCTTGTACCAATATTTATGTGTTCAAATAAATAAAATAAGTAATTGCTCTTTATAATCTACATCAACAATATATGCAAGTGTTTTAGCACAGGTAAGACCTACCTCTATGCCGATGACTTAAAAGTCATCTATAAAACTGACATTTGCGATTTACGCAGTACTATGCAAACAATCCAACATGAACTCAACATGGTAGATGACTGGTGCAAACGCTGGAGGTTAGAGCTCAACATAGAGAAATGCGGCTGGTTATGCATAGGAGACACGTCTCTTAAAATAAAACTAACACTTAGCGATCACACACTGCCTAGACTGGCATCAGTAACTGACCTAGGGGTACATTACTCACACAGTCTTAATTTCTCTGAACACATCTCAGCCAAAGCATCCAAAATGCAGAAATTGCTTGGCTTCATTCTCCGTAATTTCTATCGAAATGAATCTAAAATCCTTCTTTACAAAGTTTGTGTAAGACCTATCGTTGAATACTGCTCGTTCTTATTTTCCAACCTACGTCTTTCTGATATACTAAAGGTGGAAGGAATACAACGAGACTTCACCCGCAAAGTACTTAAGACTGACTCGGTCATTGACTACAGTTCTCGATGTCAAATCTTAGGAATAGTACCCCTTTGGGAGAGAAGGCTTAGGTCTAATTTGATTCTCTACTTCAAACTACTCAAAAACCTTACTTACTCAACATGTCAGATAATTCTTGCTCGAGATTCACATGAATGCGGACTTCGAAACAAAGTATCTACGGTCAAAGTTGAGAAATACAGATCAAAAACTCGGGAAAACTTCTTCCTCACCAAGTATGCAATAATATGGAACAGTCTTCCCTCCGAGACTCGCATGGCAGGTGAACTACATACGTTTGTGAAACCGCTTGATCAATCCCTCAATCGCACTGATCTTGTACGTACGAACACATCTGCGCCCCACTCAGACATCATAGGCTCTCTCCATGTCTAGACCAAAATGGACTTCAAGTTCAGTTTGTCTTATTTTTTCTACTTTGCAGTTGTATTAATTACTTTTTTCACCCTATTTCTTCACTTGAAGTAGACAGGTAACTCACTGGACTTATCAATACTGTTAAACTAAACTCGGTCGATAAGGGACACTCACTACCACCCTAAAAAGTCAAGAGGACCGCACAATCGGCTGCCTACTACCAGTGGTCTTGCATCTATGGAACCTGTTACCAATCAACTGGTTAAGACAACAGATAATAATATCGGCACCAAGTTACTGTGAGTTCCTTCCTGTTTATCCTGTATTAACGTTTTACTCTCCTGTACACTATGTTGACTAGCAATTAATACTATTTCTCCACTCGTCCCCTTATCCACAACTCATATACTTCTATACTTTTTCCGCCTGCTAAATAAACAACTATCCTACAATATACCCTTCTTAACGCTTATACTCTGATTGGCAAACTATACTTTATACTATAGTCAACAGAGGCACTGCATCGATGCTTTACCCACAGTCCATAGCTTGTAACTGCCTGATAAGCTTGTAAAATGGTACTTAAAGAAAGTGCTTTCCAACATGTTGTGAAACATAGGATTGTGTGAGGTATGACGTATATACAAAAATAAGCCTAAATGAGCCTAACATCACAAAAGGAGGGAGGGTGGAGTTACTGACCAGCAAGCATTGATGGTGAGGGCGATAACTTCAATCCACCCGTGTTTGTGGGGACAGAACATTTTGTATGTATCAGGCTCTTTATAATTGAGAGTAAGACAGTCAATCTGAGACATAGATTGTCTTCCTACGCTCACCACTCAGATTCATGTTTCTAATATTATGCTGGATTAGCTATTCTACTAAGACAACCTATAACATGCTAACTCGGACTTTTACATTAGGGTTGCGTGGCTGGCATCGGATGGACAAAAAAAGAAAAGAAAAAATAAGAGATATAGTCACTAGTATTCTTAACACTTCACCCTCTATATACACACCCTCCTAATAAACCGCTTCCCTTGTACCAACCTTGACTTTCCTTCCTTCATGTGAGCTTACTCCAACTTGTTAAACATCACAACTCATTGTTCTTTATTAGTACATTCTCTAATATGGAGCCTCTGACTTCACTTCACTCTAACAAGACATAATATGAATTTATTCTAATTTATTATACCTCTGTCTGTTCTACTACACAATGTTAAGCAACCTTTGGCGTTCATATCCAAGTGCCTTGCTGCTCTTCTGTTTCTATTTTTTCTCCTTCAGAATCTTGCTCTGAGAGCACAGCTATGAAACTTCTGACGTTTGGAGCAAACTTGACGTATGCGTCCTCCCAAGGTCATAGTTTACAGCAAGCGCTCTACGATTTCACTTTATAACAACTATAAACTTAATAAGTTGTGAAGCATTTTGCGAACCAACAAATGTTGTAATTTATAGATCATGCCTGTAAAAACGGTGTGTACCTGCACATGCAGAAATATATTATTATTATTATTATTATTATTATTATTATTAAATAAGTTAATAAAGGATACAAATAATTACCGATATCAATGAAAAACCATCATTCTATCCTTTCTGGATAGTTCACAAATTGATTGTCTTAAAGGCAATTTATGCTCAGTAAAATTATTAATAATAAAGGTATCAAGAGTTACTTGTGGCAACACTGGACGTTTCCAAATCTGGAAGTATACTTAGATTTATAATTTTAAAAAATCCACAGAGTCAATAAAAATTCAGGCAACCAACTCAAAAGAAGAAACGAATCACTGTAGTGGCCGCAAAAACAACATAAATGAAATCCATTTGAATGATAAAAATTGAGTAAAAACGTCAGAAAACAAAAATTAAATAAAGAACTCAATGGAATTCACAGCAGTAGCGATCCAGAAGTATATATTGCAAAAGTATGTACGTGGAAAGATTCACAATCACAGTCAGAAGCACTATTCTATAACGATGATAAGATCTACAGGTTCATATGGAAAGAAAAGTATTCACTTGAGCTTCAAAAATTTTTCACAACATTAGAGGGGTGGTCAGTAGACAGTTAGTTAAAACTTAACCTACCAATATGTCATAACATGGGCGTTCCCATCCTATGAGACACAAACAACCTACGTCCTTTGTGAAAATTCCCCCCCCCAATAATCTCCTCGGAGCACGATCCAGAAGCGTCAACTGCGGACAGCTTGAACGCCAGATCAAACCACATTATGGATACAGTCAAGGCGAACGCAATTCTCCACTTTATACGAGGACGGATTGCCACCACTATTCTGGAACGGTTTCTATCACTTTAAAATGCACCCACGACACCTCGAAACATGTGACTTTGCTGCACTGTCTCTCTTCAAAATCGACACAAACCCCTTGGACAGAGCACAGAGACGGGAAATGGGCGAGTGATGAAAGTGAGAAACAAATCTTACGAAGATAGATCCGGACACTTGAGATTATTATCTCCGAGTCATCGGAGAACAAGAGGTGACCTGATAATAACAGAAAACATACTAAGCGCATCAAGTCACCGTAGCGCAAAATTCTTACCAGATCATCACCACGGGGCTCTGAGAAGTAACTCCCGTAAAATTACACATCTTAGAGCGTAGACTCATGAGCGTTCTCACTTTTTCGGATTAAGTGTTATATGTTTTAAGAGTATCCTTCCATCTGAAGTGGCCAAAGCCTCCTCAGTAGATAGACTTGGCAAACATAATCTTACTCATGGGTTGCCATCACCCTCTTCAACCACCTACGTCTGGTGCATCTGATAAAACGCCTGTTGTAATCACCGTAGATAGTAACTATTTTCTGTCATGCTTATTACGATCGTGTCCTTTTTTATTTTAATATCCGGCTTTTCACAGTCTGCATTTTCAATTAGTTAACTTATTTATTTGTTTATTGAAGCAGGCGTCTAATTTCTGCACTACAATTTAAAATTTATTAATTTGCTGATTACGACCAACCAACTTTCTATCTGATAATGTGATTACTGAGGATTTCAGAAATCCTGTTGCACTGACATAAACACACTTAGACTGCATGATATACAAACCAACAAGTCTCTACAAACTGTTAACCAAGTGGCTGGACCACCAGTGGTCGGGAATCGCCAAATATCTGTAACCGTAACGAAGCAACAAGTAGCAAGTACAATGAAATCAGACTTAACAAGCTCATTTTCGACCAGTTCGACGGAAGAACTTTCATCCTCTTTGATCGTTAAATATACCAATGTTCTTCCCTGGAGACCTTGACGATCCACTGCTACTAGATACGGAAGCCTGTTAAGCGAAATCTTTTTCTATTCCATCCAGAACCATTTGAAACCATTTTGAGCTCATGACGAAAATATTGGATATTGGATGCTTTGTATAGGCTTCGAATATGCTGAAGGTCGTTGTTTTCTTTAAGAAGTCCCCCATTAGTTGGGGATAATGGTTTCCAGCTAGCGTCTTTTACTATGGGGAATGCTCATGCCTTACAGAAACATCAGCTTTCAAATGTTGGGAGTGGAATGACGAGTTCTGTAGGCATGAAAGATTTTGAAAGTCGTTGGAAATCCTTCATGAATTCACTTGATTTGTCAGCCGAACATATAAAACAAATTGAATTGTTAGATGAAGAAAAGAAGGCAGAGCTACTGTCAAACTATGTACTAAAGAAGTTATTTGCATATTTTTTCCCAGGAATTAAAAAACCCTAGGTGTTCTGCTTTTCACTATGTTGCACTTTTAAAAGCTAGTCGGATTGAATTCATTTGGGTTCGTTCAGTGCTTCCCCAACTAACTTTGTAGAAAAAGAAAGTCGACGGTTCAGCATTTCGTTCTCTACTATCGTCAGTAGAGATTTCTCTTCGTACCAACAATGTTGAGTAATTTAGTTCAATATATTCGAATTCTAGATGGGTTTATGACTTTTTAGATCTCGAGGGCCTTGAGGCACTAGCCGATCTAATGTCACAATGTATGCATTTTCTACCAGGGTTAGTCATCCGGTATGATGGGTTATTTCCTTCAGACAGGACACGACATTCGGCCCACGAATATTTTGTGGGAGTAAATCCTCAGACGAAACTTACCGGGATCGTTACGAAATTTCTTGCTATGCAGAAGTTCCTAACTTCATCCATAATAGTAGCATAAAGTCAACCCAGTCTTCACCAAGTAATAAGAATTAACTCGTTTTCACAATTCATGTGGTGATTTAGACAATGCATTTTTACCCAAATCCATTGTTCACAGTAGCTGTTCACCAAAAGGTTCTCTACTCACTGCATCGTTCTTAGACTTTCTCGAGGATTGCTTACATCTGTCTCTCCGTTCACTTAAGGCCATATTGAATAATCAGGTTGGTTCTTCTGCTACTCATTATTATTAGTCTTTTTAGAGAGGGTGTAGAAGAGCTATGGAGCATGCACTTGTCATTAATCTAGTAACATTTTGTCTTCTGCATCCTAATTATTCGTAAGTACCATAATTAAATGTCGACTTGTAACTTAGTTTTACATATTTTCGCCCCAATGTAACGTTATATCGCGTTAGTGACGTAGGTCAAAGTATAAAATAAAATTCGGCCCACTCTCTTTAACAGTACTAATATTTCAGGAAGCTGTATCCAGTGCGATTTGGTGTCCGTTTTCTCTCATAGGTTGAGTATGTACACTTTTCTGGTTCAAAATAGCCGAGGTAAACTTAGTGCAGTCATGCATATGTTAGCTCAGATATTCTAGGTTCTGGTTGAACGTTATTGTTGTCAGTGTAGTAGTGTATTTTGGATCATTCATTTTTACGTGAAGTTCCTTTTTCATGATTTGATCATTACGATGACAGAATAATGGAACTGCATTCGCTCTGACTATGGACTAAGAAAAGTGTCATCCCTATTACGCCTCACATTAGCTCCAGATGGATGTTATCGATTTATGATCAAGTTATAGTACCTCGATTGTGTTGTTGAAGCCGACTAGCATAACTTAAAACATCATGTGAATCCTCCAATGCTTTTTTCTACTCACTAAGTAAAAAAGTGGAATAGCGCGGAGAAAAATCCGTTTAGAATTTGTATCGTAATAAACACTACAAGCGCTGCTTGTCTTAGGGGATGACTTAGCGTAAATAACACATGTCGGGATCTCTACGGACAATATTGACGTATGATTTCATCGATTGTTTTACTTCTTATTAACACTACTCCTAACTTTGTTTGGTGCTTAGTGATCCTCACATCTAGTAGGTGTGCTGTAAATGAGGTCTTTAAAACATGTCATATTGCTTCCTACACTGCTATGCTGTGTTAAATAAAAATTTCTCTGGCACTAATAAAGGTATGTGATCGCAAATCGTAACTGGGTCTCATTCATTAAAATCAAGATTGTTATCATCTTAATAGTCCATTTTTCGCTTAATGGATGCGAGATTTCAAGCATAATTTATTCCATATAAGTTAGCTTAGACATGGGTTCTAAAGTATTTTAAAAGTTGAAGGTGAAGTTCATTGTATTCAAAGTATCAAAGAAACAGTATTTTGGTAGATTATGATGTTTATGTATTCTGGGAATCACAAGATTTTTGTGTTGTATGCATTTTCCATTTACACGCTATCCAGAATACTGTTTCTGGTGAATCAGCAAAATGCTAAATATTTATCGTAGATTTTTAATCAAACGCATTTTAATTGATAGTTTGTCGTTTCGAGATTATTCATCTGGATTGCTGTAATTAGTCTATCATCCTAAGACTAATCCTCGAATCTCCCTAAAATTCATTTCTGATAGTTAATTTACTACGTGATAAAGTAAATGAATTAGTAACCTCTTATCGAGTCATTTATACGCGTTCGCCTAGTCTAATCAACTCAATAAATTGGAACCAGCTGTAACTTTATTCTTGGAAATATTTTTCTGTAGAACAAAAACGCTAGCACTAGATATGCTTACTGCATTGTGTCTGATTGAAGGTGGTCACGTGAAAGTCTTGCAATCCTTCGATAGGTTACGCGTTGTGATGGGTGAAGGATTGAGATTTGAGCTTCTTTTAGCGGCATTCAGATACCACGAGTCGCTTGATGAAGAAAGCTACAATCTAGATTTTGCAGTGAGTTTTCCTATTTTATTTCTCATGATCTTTGAGTAATTAATTGTTAATGTATTGTCACAAAAACAGCTGGATAAGATTTACTCCTCAAGAAGTATCTATAAATGTTCAATGCATGTCTGGGTAGGTGTAGTTCAGTAGCTTCAAGACTCAAATCTTCAAGTCAACATTCCGAATCCTCTTCAACTACAGGAGGCGGTTGGGTTGACATTCTTAGGAAAACACGTGTATTCTGTGTCACCACACAGTCGGAAGATTTATTTAGTTGGGACACATTAAGTTTTACATTCACATTAACTAATTTCATTATTTGAACTAATTAGTCATATTAGAATAAGTTTGGTATGCTTGTAAAAGCTAGAAGTTTCCTCAGAACAGAACCAACTAGTTGCTTTTGGAATATTGTAGATTCATCGATGATGCGACTGACTACAGTTGATAATCGGCACTAATCAGTAAAATGATCCAAGGTGTTTCTATGGATTTAAAGCTTTGATTCTAGTAATTTATGGCCCTATCAAGTATCGCGTGACAAAATTATCAGTTAGACTTCTGTGACATTGTCTTTGTGCTAAACCAATGACACGCCAACCAGTACTATCGGTCTTGAGTCAATTCTGAATCTTTATCGGTCATCAACATAGTAGCTTCTCGCCTACTCTTGCCCGTTGAGTCCGGGACACAATATCCTCCTCCACTATGTGGATAATATATTTCAAACATACATAGTCTATATACAACCAGACCAGACGGCATCACATCATAAAGTGAAAAATAAGTTTTTCAAGATCAAGCCAAAAGTGGCTGTGAGTATAGGAGACTGTAACTAATAGCTCGGGAATAAATTAAGAATAGTAAGTCGTTTAATGTTACTTTATGGGTCAAATGAAAGCTTGTGATAAACCGAATATGAATGTATATATAACCTGGTTATTTGATAGTTATATGATAAGAATATACATATAATAATCCATAAATAATTCCCGAAGTTACCATTCATTTAATCTTTGGATACAATACTGATAATCACCAATAACTGGTGAATAACATGTAGTTACTTTGATTTACTGGCGCAGTGCATTATATTAACATGTAGAGTGATGAACACTTGGATCACAATTCAGAGAGAACACTAATACTTACTGCTAATAAAAATATCTAGTTGATGATTATTTATTGAAAACGTCTGCCTTATGTTCATATAATAACTACTGAATACTACTGGCTTTATCTTATATCTATACTTTAGAAAAATATCTTCTAATTAAGCTCTTGAAACTATTGGTTAAAAGGAGTGGCTTTTGTGCTTTAAAAATATAACATCTTGTTAACCATAAATGAGGGTTCCCTATCATGTCCATTTCTTAAACAAATTATCATCTTAACGCATTTATTCGAAACTGTGAGATATGAGGACCGGTTAAAAGCTTTCGTTACGACTTATTAACTGGATTTATGTTTATTTATTTATTTGAGCACAAACATTAGTACAAAGTGGCACCAATTACATATGCACCACATAATAACAATGAGGCCCGTAGGAGTTATCATTGTTTAGAATAAGGGCTGTGGTACTACTCGGGCGCCCAAACCAAAGCAGATGGTTTTCTTAGGGGACCACATCCGGAGCCATTCGACCTGAAAGTCTGATCCACAAGGCAGTGGGACAACGTCAGCAGATGCGGTCACGTGGTAACCAGTGGCCAACAATAGGTTCATACGCCGTTTGCTCCTTTAAAATCCTGGAGCCCATGTGCACCATTGATTTGGAATTAGGGTTTTCCAACTCCCATGGGTGGATCCTCCATATCGACCGACCCGATGAAACCACCGGACATTCGCTTTTCTTTCTCTCAATTTCGTAAACAACACCAGTGCCGCGAAAAGGCAGTGAGTAAGACTTTCTTGTTAGTGGTTAAATACGCGTGGCCATGTAAGAGTATTTCGAGAGGGAAAGCAGACTCTCTTTGCCCTCGACCGTACCAGGGCATTTGGGGGCCCTGAATAGTTCATGCGGGTTTATAGTTTATTTGAACTTTTTTCCCAGGACAGTATGTAGCTTTTGAATGTTTCATTGGCTTTCTCATGTTGACTGTTAAAACTTTAATACTTTGGAAGTATGAATTAATGAGCTTATATTTCAAATATTCAATTTTTGAAGGTAACATGCGTGCAATTTCTCAATATTATTGTTCATTCACCAGAGAATATAAATTTACGAGTATATTTACAATATGAACTCCACTTACTTGGATTTGATGATTTGTTAAAAGTAAGTTATATGTTTACTCAACAAATAAATTCTCTCCATTACATTTCCCATAATAAAGAAGATTTTAACTTAGTTTTAAGACTTGGTTCTATAACATTTAAAAAACCGTTCTCACATACATTATTAAAAGTTAATAATCAGTCACTTGCGTGACTTACAACAAATTCATACTATGTCGAGTCACTCTTCTAGTGAATATTTCAAAGACCCTAATAATATTCACTCAACCTTTGGTAATAGTGACTATAGTAATATTCATGGGGCTTAATTTCTATAAGTGATGAATTAATAGATCTACTATTTATACTACAGTGTCCTCTCATAAAGGTTAATAAATCCAATATTCCCACAAATATAGTTGATTGGGATCCTTCAACTTACAGTATTGATGGTGTTTGTGTCTAATAATAATAATAATAATAATAATAATAATTATTATTATTATTATTATTATCATTATTATTATTATTATTATTATTATTATTATTATTATTATTATTATATAAAAGAATTGTATTCTGAATGCAAGTAATGAACAATGTAATTATTATTATTATTATTATTATTATTATTATTATTATTATTATTATTATTAGCTTTATTCAATATTATAATTTTGGTACAATATAGAATTCTCAGCGCAAAGTATTTCAACAAGTTTCCGTTTCTTTCTTCTTGGTCGGTCCTGGCGATAAATATTGAGGAATCGCCAGTTAGATGTTAGCACTTCAGTGAATGAACAACTGAATAATGTACATTCTTTTCGTTGTACATTGCCAGCAACCATATTGTCTCTTATTGAGTTTTCTGTAACTTTGACAACGAAAGGTTGTACACTTTTCAGAAACGCAGCAGAATAGGTTATGCGATTAATAAACATAATGATATATTAAAACAAACAACAATAGATAACTTGTTGAAATATCTAGATGGCAGGAACAGGTAACCCAGATGCTCAAGCAGGCCGCCCAGTTCCTTACTTTATATAAAGTATTATATAATACTTTATCGCAATGTTATTAAATCTATAACATTTTGGTCATTTTTCGTAATTTATTCACCTTTTTTATAGCAAATTCGTGATCGTTCTGGGTCACGATTAAAAGTTCAAATTGAAGCCTATTTAGATAATCGTGTAGATTGTTCATTACTACTGGAAGATGCTGAAGCTAAGGAGGCAGCTGTTCTGGAACAAGAACGTTTGGAAAAGCGATTGGAATCAGAAATGGCTATAGCTAGAAAATCTGAAGAGAATTTTAAGGTATGATTGTTTCTCGTTTATTCTTCCTAAGTTATTGGTCTTGTTTTATGTGATCAATTAAAATGTCCGTTTAAAACGTCACATATTTACCTCGATCCCGATAAATCTTCTGACTGAACGCTTGAATCGGTTTCCTAAGCTCTTCTAATAACCCCAGGCCAAATCTGTACGACAACTTGAACACAGGAGAAAAGGAACAAAATATGGAAAGAACGTTTTACTACAAGGTTCTGGAACGCTACTAAACATAGTAGCAGAACAGACAATCATCCATTCCGAAGTGTGACACGTGACTCTTTACTTTCTAGATGATTCTAAGAAACTTCTATTCAGTGCTGATTGGACAAGGATTTTCCTAGCGTTTTCAGGGCCGCTGTGGACTTTTTTTGAGGAATATTCTGTCTCTTCCCAACAGATCTATTGTTGTATTTGAGCATCGTGTTTGACTTTTGCGTATTTTTAAAGTTAATTCCACAAACTTGATACAATAAGTGGTATGACAAGTGTATCATAAAAAACACTACATATTCACCACATATGCTCAATCTGTGTTAAGGTGCTTGAAAGAAAGTGTCACAAGCCTTGTATTTCGCTTTGTACTAGTTGATGCTCATCAATAAAGGGGATCTGCCTGCTGCTATGCTAGGTAATATGAAGTAGGTCAGAGAAAAGTTGGTAGGGATCGTGTTACAGTCCATAAACTCACTAACTGTCAAACTTTAATCTTGTTAAGAGATGCGGTCATCCTGGCTGATTTCTCTGTGATCCTTTGGTGCACAGTTTAGGTATTATGGGTTTAAACCAGCCAAAAACATGCAAAAAATACCTATTCCTTATCTTCCTCCAGGTTTTAAGTTTTAATTTTGTTTTATAATTCATTCCATGATTTCACTCATATTTAGCTAATATTCCAAATTATGACGTACTTTCACCGACATTAATATTATCATTTAAACTCATTTGGTTTTCGTTTGGCTAATTTCCTGTCCTCATTTAATTGAATTGAAATTAACTTGAGCTAATTAGTACTTTCGCCAGGTTTCATATTGTCTATTACTAACCGAAGAAATTGTTGCTTCATTTGATATCTATTGGAATGCTATCTTATGACCGTACGAGCATTCCATGTACCTAAATAGTTGCTCTGGTTGTCAGAAGGGCCATCAGCCTCGTGAATTCCGAAGGAACTTGGATTTCATCATGAGGCGTCATAACTCTTCTAAATGAAGACATTCTGACTCCCAGGGCAGGGTTTAAATGGTTTGAATAATTTTTCTCCGGTTAGCGTTTTATAGCGAATTAGTTTTCTACGAGATGGGTTCGCTAACCCCATGCCAAACCCTCCTCCTTTATTCGGGCCTAGGACTGGCAGTAGCCCCAGAGGGGCTCCAGTTGGAGTTATATCATGGCTGAGCTCAAACTATATTTTATTAAAGATGTCTTCTCCGCAGTCTTGTTTCTGACAGGATAGAATGACAAAGTGGATATTCTTCTACTGTAACCAAGTTAAAAAACAGATTCATCCAGAAAAGTAGCAAACTCTAATTTTCAGTTGTTAAGTGTATATAAAGTTTAATATTCTTCAGGTACAAATAAAATATCACTGTTTTCTGTTTAGCTGATTGTCATGAACAACTAACCCTTAACATTATCTTACTGTCTAGGGAATTAGAATTTTTACATTAATAACTTACATAACAGGTTTCTTAATCTGAATACCTGTAAAAGCTGACTTTATTGAAGTCTTCACATAAATCTGCTTCTTTAACACAATAGATGCAAAACTTGTTGTGATTAGTAAGATAATGTAAACATTTCTTCTTTTGTTAAGTGATAGCGTTTGGATTAAGCAATAGTAAAATTTCATGACACTTGAATGCCACTATATACATATATGTTATAAGTTAACCAAAATAATGTAATTGCCTAAAATTGACTTGATGATATATTAGGGTAGATAATATCTTAGTACTATGTGAAGACAAACTATTTCACTGATTCTTAATTGAATACAATGATTAATGTACTTAATTTGTAACTCTAAAAACAAGATTTATGGAGTCTCATTTTGGGTGTAAATACGTACAAGAACAATTTATAATTTGTTTCGTCCCGTATAATTTAACATAATATTATACACCTATAATTGTGTGAACCATATCGGTAGTGTTTTCATGGACAGGTTTTAAGCTTCAAGGCAAAATTTACATTTATTAGTGCGCATACTTGTATTAGCCTTCATATGCCAATTACAATTGTTAAGCCATAATTGTAAATATTTGGCTTTGTCCATCATACAGTTGTTGTCTCTGATTTAATGTCCTTCTCATAGTATAGTTTTTTATTTCGGCAAAGTAACATAATCTCTATGCTTTCATTAAGCATCTCATGTACATTGATTAGTTCTAATGATTATTTTTCTGTGTGCCATACCACTGGGTTTTTTTGTTAATTAGCTTTAATTTCGTTGGTTCTAATTATTCTCTTTTGTAGTTGATAGGTTATAATTTTGATAGGTTCTGAATTTAAGTTCTATTGGGACAATACAACTACTCAATTAGATAGATATAACGAAATTCAGACTTGATTGGAAAAACGTTTATCTTAAATCTCAATGTTAACAACAGATAATTAGTATTAAGTTATTAATAAAAATAGAAAACCGATCATGAAATATCTATTCAATCTTTGTACACGCCTACACGGTACTGATTTGTTTATATGATCCTCATCAACAATAAAAAAGTCAATTTGTTTTACTTATCATGGTCAGAGATCTGACTACAACATCATCGGACGATGATGATCGTATAATGGCAATAACGAAACAAATATCCCAACTTCCCCTATGTAAATTTATCGACTTAATTCTCGTTAGTGAATAACGAAATAAGTCAAATACGAGATTTTATTTTGGATGCATTTATTTCATACACCCGTTACCACAGACAGATAATAACAGAAATGAAGCAATGAAGATAAGCGTGCCAACTCGATTTGATAAAGCGTGACCCACTGTTTATAATCAGGCAGGAAAATAGGTTAAAGACATGTAATGCATAGAGTGTATGATACGCACACATACGCTCATATAGAAATAGTCAAGCTTATAAGGGTATAACTGACAAGTTCAAAATAGGTGTGGACACCGACTCAGAAGGAATAAATTAGTTACTGTGTCCAAAAGCTAGAATCAGCGACGTAGGGGTGACACAGAACTGTATACTACACGCCCCCTAACGATCAGTTCGTGAGTTTTACCGCATAAATTAATATCATGTAAATCAAATCATTGGCAACAAGTGAAAACTGAACAGTTATCAGTTTGTAGTTTAGATCCTTTCAGTATTGTAAGTTTACAGAATTAAACCCATTACCTAAGCAAACAATATTTATTCCCTCGTTAATGACTGATTTCAAAATGAATTCTTGAAGAATTTTCATGATAAATCGCGATTAATTGATTGCTATCTTGTTGCAAAGGAATTAAATATCACCGATAAGATTTGGATGATGATCTAATATTGCTAATCGACTAAAGTTGGAAACTAAATTAAAATAATCTTTGTGAATCGTTCGTAATTTTGATTAACGATCACAAATAACCTTATCGATACTGATGAATATTGTATATTAAATACATGGAGAGAGATATTTATCTACCCATTAATGTGTGTTTCGATATGGTAGAATATATGATATATGATATGACTTAATTAAGGACAATATTTTTACGTTTTTAAATAATTTATCTTATTTTTTTTTAATCACTATTCCCGATAAACAAAGCGTTGTTTAATTTAATAAATGTACGAAGATTATAGAGAATCGGATGTGAATATATGTTTTCTGATAGGTTTACAGTGTTGTTTAGTGTAGATGATATTAATGAAATTCCAGGGCAAAGTCTAAATGAGAAAAAGGCCATCTAGGACACGTAGGTTACAAGTAATGGATTAGTGTTCATAGAATCTGACTTCCAATCTACCGCATATGTTATGGCCTGCCAAAGATTCACAAACATGATGTCCCTCCCACTCAGGCTTATTTTGTCAACGATTAATTCATATAACCACAAAGTTGCACGCTGGCCAGCAGAAAAGTTAGATTCACTTCATAACTGCTTAGCTACTTGTACGCTAAAAAACTTTCTACTTTGCTGAGTTTCAATCACATGAATGTTGGCGGTAAGTCAGTGGTTTATTTTGACTTAACATTCCTGTTTAACAAATACCGTGTTTTGAAACAGACACAATTTGAAAGCATTCTGACTCCCTACCACTACCAGTATCAGAACTCAAACGACTGCTAATTGTGTATACCAAAGATGTTCAGTTTCAGCTAAATAACATAATATACCATTAAACTTATGGTTTAACAATGAGAAGCCCACTTAGTTCCTGCCCTGGCAGATATATTCATGGCTAATCTCGAAAAGATCAAGATTGAAGGGGTGAATGACAAAATTGGTGTATTATGCGAGGTATTTTGACGATACTTGCTGCATGTAAAGATCAACAATCAACAAACCACCTGCTAAACCTTTCAACGGCGCCCATAAAAACATTCAGTTTACTATGGAACATGAAAAGAATGATAAGTTTCACTTCCTCAATATCGTCATACAACTCAGGGAGGATGGTGGTACGATTCAACATTCAGTTTACGGAAAAGATAGATGGAATTGTGTTTATCAGAATTTTAAGTTTTTTTCCAGTTATTTGCAAATAGGCACTTATCAAAATTCCATTTCACAGGACTGAAATATGTACTACCAATAGACTAGAGGCAAGTTTAACTATAAAAAATGACTGCGGAACAACGAGTATCCGGAGAAATTTGTTGAGAAATATGGGAAAAGTAAAAAAATCGCTTAAACGTGCTACATTGGATAGGAAACCTATTATCATTCAACTTGGATCCAGAGTTAACGAAAATAAACAGTACAACATGTAAAAAAGTTCAAGTTATCAAAATCGCCCAAGATGGTAGCGCCTTTTAATCTTTATCACCATTATCAACACATGGTGACAGACACCTGCCTTACATAATGTTCCTTCTGGGTGCTAGCTTTTCTTTTATCCCAATGATGGTTAAACGTAGATAGTCAATGAACCTTTTTTCAGTCGGATAGTGTAGGATTCACAGGGCGAAACTGATCATAAGGAGTGGATTAATGAAGCGCATCGAAACTTCATTTACCCTGGAAGTATTACCAGTCGTTTTGGATTGACATTTAATGAAGTCTCAGCACACATTCAGTAGCTAGCCTAACTTTTGTTAACTTGCATCATTTGTCGCATATAGGGAGATGTCCATCGACGAACGAAGGGGAAATACAGTGCGCATAAATTTCGTCTGTTTTATTCTGTAGGTGTAAAATGTGGTCTATAAAAGAAGACATACTTTAGCTCCAAATATTTCATCATAGATGTCTCGGAAACATTGTTCGCGTTTAGTAGATTGACCAAGTAAACAATGGTGAGGTTAGGGGGACGGTGTTCTGGTAAAGGTGAACAATTGATTGATAAGACTGTGAATCTTCACTGATTAAAGTATCATAGAAATGTATTAAGTATGTTCAACTACCCCCTACTCCGACAGGAATTGTTAACATGAGTACGAATAATTTGAAAGAAACAGTTAGTAGGCTATACCAAAGCATTCCACTAGTCTATCATTTCACTGGCATTTAGTGTTAATCATGTTCGTAGATTGGTGGGTTGTGATCCATATGATACCCGTGACCAATGATCACAGATGCTGAGTGATATGACTTAGTATCAACCACCATAAAACAGTTCCATTCAATCTCTGTTTTTGCTTTGGCCTTGTTTTTTTAAAAGGTATTTTATACTTTTTATTATCATAATCAATGCTTATATTAGATGATATAGTGCCAAATGACTGACTGACTGATTCTTCCATCTTATCATTTCTTGTTTTTTACCAACATCCTTGATCATTAGATTTCTGTTAATTCTTAGTATTATTTTTTCTCTTACTCTTATGATCTCGTCATTTTACTCTCTCATTGTATTGATTGATGTGAGGTGTGATAACTGGGATTGATATATATTTATACCTAAACCTCTGTGCTAATTATTACGAAAAAAAATGGATTAAATATGTATACATTACTCCTCATCCCTAGAGCCCTAGTAATACGTATATGATAACCATGCTCTCTGGATTTCTTTCCATCTAACAGTGAAAAATCATATTTAGTTATCAATTCTACATGTTTTTGAGTAAAATAGCAGGAAAAATGCTGTTTTGTTGTTGTTGACCCAAGCACTCTTTCCACTGCTGTATGTTCATGGTTTTTTATACATTTAAATCATATTCTGTGAGAAACTTTGCTCTAGAAACGGGTCACACTGCTCTCACTTTTCCAAAGGAATCGTTAGAATAAAATATGTGTAATATTGGTGAAACAGTTCCTGATTCGACTCGATCATGCAGCTCTGATTTACGATTCCGGTCTGCGTAACTTTAACACTTTTCATGTGTTTGACCAAATGTTGTGGAATCTACCCATCATTTAGTGTATGAAAAAAAGATGGTTTTCGTTATCCAGTAATAAAAATAAATCTCTGTCATTGGTATGAAAAATCTTAGGTACTGAATAAAAATCACCTGTACATAATTTAGTTTCCCAATTTTCCAATCAAAAAGCAATGTCGATTCTTATTGATTATATATATATATATATATATATATATAATGTACAACCACCGAGTGGTTGCATTGTGTACTGATCATATAATGATACTCAGTTTTTGGAGAAAAACTGATGTGATTATTCGAAAAATTAAACAGTTGCTACATTGCATAATATACAAAGGAATTAATAAAATATTTTGATGAAAAATCAGTATTATATTAGTTATGTAAGAATAAAGAGACGGTTGTTAAGACTATGTAAACATACAAAAGCGAAAGAAATTAGAAAATTGTTTGAACATTTTCGAAACAAAGGGGGTAAAACTCACTCCTCTGTAGATGGTCAATTTAAGAGGAATGGTTGTAAAATCTTCTTTTGGATTCAAAGGTTAGGTTTGTGAACGTGGATTCCGATAGCTTTAGCAATATGAAGAAGACGAACCTGTAAACCATACAGTAAATTTGATGGGATATTTTTCATAACCTCAAAACATGTATTCAAGTCAACTCAGTTTTCCATGTCCACTAAGTGAGCGAGAATAGAGCACTTGATCAATCTTACCTGTCCTTCGCTCAACCAAGATGGATGGTGTTCCGCTATGTGATAACAGACTTGCCGGATTGTACGCCTTATATAATTCTTTCCCCAAGAGCAGTTGAATTGATAAATAGACATGAATGTGGCGAATTCAGGCAGACCGTCTTGATTGGTGGAAGAGCCATCTCGTCAGTATTCTTCATCGATCTCTTTCCTGGGCAATCTTTTCCAGTTCTTTCTGGTTGCTATTCATCCTTTTGATGTATGCTTCCGATTCTCGACCCAGTGTGTTCTTTGTCTTCATCTTTCCGGATACCCTTCAGGATTCCAAGTTAGCGCTTGCTTCATGATACAGTTTGATGATTTCCTCAGTGTATTTCATATCCACTTGCAGCATCTTTTCTTAATTTCCTCTTCAGTTCAAAGCTACTTTATTCTCTCCCACAGTACGTAGTTGCTGATGTTATCCGACCAACGGATGTATCTTGCTTGAACAATTGTTTGTAAATACTTGTACTTTTTTGATGATGGTTGCAGTAGTTCTCGAAGTTTCAGCTCCGTACAGTAGGACTGTCTTGATGTTCGTATTAAAGATTCTGAATGCCTCCAACCGAATAACATTTGATTTAACGTTGATCATTAGTCAAAGTCTGTCTAGAAGTTCATCATGTGAACAAGTATTTTGTCCATGCGGTTTGATGATAAAATCGAATGGATAATATTCGGGAGCTAGAAAGTTAATGCACATAAGGCATATGAATCTATTTTATTGTGAGTAAGCATAGTTGTGTAACGAATTTAGATTGATGTCGAACATAATGTAGACAAATAGAAAAGCCTCATATTTGACTTGTTTCAATAGAAACCCGTTACTTAATTTTAGCATTGACAGTTCATCTGACCTACATTCTTTTAAAATCTTTAGCTCAAAGAAACTGAACTTCTTCGTGTTGCTGAATCACTACGTATAAAAAAACGAGAATTCGAAATAGCTGCTGCTGATCGTGAATCTGGATTGTACAAACAAATCAATGAATTATCTCGTAATATTCAGTTAGCTCAACGAGAAATATCTGATTTGAAACAAAATTTACATCTTGCGCAAACGTGTATAACGAAGTCATTCACTACAATGTCCACTTCAACACATTTTGAAAATTCAAAGAGGAATTCATCAATAACAAACAATAGCATTGATCAAAATTCCTCATCTGATCCACCCACATTAGTAACACGAGCTGTGTCTATCGAAGATACTTTTTCTTCTTCGCACCATTGTAACGGTAATAATGGGCAAAAACATCATTATCATCCTAGTCCTTCTGGTTCCGAAGCCTCATTAAGCAATAACACTAGTGACATCAATTGCAATAAACAAGGCTCTTCAAGTGTTTATACCGATGCGAATTCATCATTGATTTATCGGTCTAAATTGGATGTTCAGTATAATACTGAAGAGCAACATCAGGCACCCGTAAAACCCCAAAGAAAAGTAACAGATCAAAAAGTAAATAATCTATGTAAGTGATATTTAATTATATACTACTAGTTAACAATAGGATGTCTAAACTATTGAGTATTTTTAAAATTGATCAGAAACCTTCATGTCCTGGGTCATTAAGTTAGAATCTAGTGGGTATACAACGAAGCAGTTCGCTCCTTTATAGACACGACTTTTCAACGATGATTTTGAAAACTTCCACTTCAACAAACGGATTGCAAATAATTCTTTTTTAGTGTCATTCGACAGTCGTGAGAAAAATACACCAAAATAATGCGGCAGGTATACACACAACCAACACTTTTTTCTAACTTTCTTACACCATAAAATGTTTATTTCAATTTTATTAATTGTGAAGGCGGAAAACTTATCAATGTTAGTTTTTTCGATCTATGAGGATTCGTACGTATGATAAGAATATATCTGTATACCACTAGTCAAATGCGAGAATTTTTTTAACTATTTATTTTCGATTTAATAGTTCCAGCTGCATTTTTAAAATTCTTTCCACTGATACCGAGAAAAATTTATATGTTAAGTGTTGGGGACGTTAGATCCCCAGAAAAGGACTCAATTTTGTAATTTTATTTTAGAAAATTTGAACTTCTTTGTTTTCGCACCAAAAGCGCTCTTGTCACCTTCATGTCGTATTTCCCATTTGGGAAATATCTTAAATGCTATTGGTCCGTTGTGTCTTTTAGTATGCTATTTCGTAACACTCCCTAAGGACGGTTTTATGCTGTATATATACATTTTGATTTGTGTTTCTTGTTATCGCTCGTTTCTAGCCGTTTGCAGAATATACTTCCCCATCCCAAGCTTGGACTTCTTCCTCTAGATAGCGGAGCTGGGACGCATCAGAATATCTAGCTTATTGGTCTTTGTTATCGTTCGCGTATTAAGTGGACTCGTGATAACTTCAAACCTAGCAGTAAATTGGACTATTTCAAAATCTTCATCTTGATTATAAAAATTCAGCGTCCCCGAATATACTCATTACCTTTAAGAAACAACTCACCGCTATCGCATACCTCAATATAGTTGACAGAATAACGTCGCCTTAGAATCCAATCTTTATCGGTTTTTACCATACTAATTTCTTCAGTATGCCTTTATAGTTCAGTTAAAACCCATTCAACAGCTATCTTAGTGTATATTACTGGAATAAATTATTAAGATAGGGGGATTAGAAACCATTTCAAGGTGGTTGACAAACATCATCAGAATGTCTTATAGTGCATTTTATATCCTTTTTTTCCCTTCTTCTTCATATTTGTTTGTTTGTTTTAGTTAAATCCTGTGCCCTACAAAATTTTACTACATGCAAACAGTTAGCTAACCAAGCAGCTAATTATTTAGCCGAACTAGTCAAATTAGTTTCTAGTTTATCAGCAGCAGAACTGTTCAGTGCTGAAAATGATTCATCCAATGATCGTTTAATTATGGTTTATCCAATTGGTTGGGAATTTTCATATTCTTCTTCGTGTCCTTCTCCTCTTTCTTCTCACAATGATGATAGTGTGATCACACAGTTAACAGCAACATCACTGGATACTATATTCAATGATCGAGTATTCAGGACATGTTATTTAGCGAATATATCTATGAAAGCTGAAGGAATCTGTACTAACTCGGAAGATTTCTTTCATATTTATTCTAATCAACTACCAGATTTATGGTTTAATGCATATAAAAAATTACCACAGAATTCATTAAACAAACAACAAACTTTAACATCAATTAATTCATTGCATAAGACTGATGATTCAGTCGATACAAGGTGAGAATAACCTTTCTATTCAAAGTAAAAGTTGTTTTTGGAATTGCCTAACATTTCCATTCAAATAGTGGATATCTATTATAAAAAAACACTGATAAACATTGTTTATCGTAACGTGATTAACAGTTATTTCATTTTATCATGTAGAGTATTTTAACTGACATACATCCATGATTTTATTTTACCTGAATTATATTTGGATCTAGATAGAACTTGTGCAGAAAAAATTATTGAAATCTGAAAATTAAAGTTTCACTGAACGATTTCTTAGTGGAGGTTGAAACTCCTCTTGTACACATACTTTGTTTTAGAATACCATGTAGTATTACCAACTTTCAAATTAATTGTGTCTCAAATCTGAGTACATGAAGTCTTCATATGATCAATATTTTTAGTTATTTATGATAACTTCTTAAAAGTTCGTAAACATCACTATTAAAATTGGAATTTAGTGGTGGTATGGATTTGCTGTATGGGGAATGACTTCTCGACCTTCAGTATGCGGATGATATTGTCTTACTGGGTGATGATACCAAAGACATGCAATCTGCACTCATTCAGTTGGCAATTAGTGTCCGTAGGTTCGGTATGTGTTTTGCACCTTCTAAGTTCATGAAGTGTATGAAGACAATTTTGGCACCTGAGAACTGATAGAAAGACTTTACGACTAAAGATAAGCGGCAGATACTAACTATTGAAAAAGTCATTTATACAACATAATTTCAACTTAAATGTATGTTAATGAGAAATTTATTGCGATGTTGGACAAGCGATGTTGATTGTTATTGAAATTGGCATGTAAGCGTACAATTTTTTCTAGGTAATGTAATTCTCAGGATCATTGTTATGACAATATAATATTGGTCAGATAGTTATTTTAAAACTGAGAGCAAAAGCAAATTATTTGCGACTCCTCAATCGTGTTCATTCATAATATTTTACGGAATCGATATTATACCTTTGTTAGTATTACTAGTATTGTAGGTAACACTAACTGAGGTGTTCGTTTTCTTCGGCTATTCTTTGATGCGTAAACTTATTCTGTTTTTAAAGTATTAACACTGATCGATACGTGATTACTTAATTTTATTAGTTAATTATGATATTGTTGTTGTCCTCGCCGTTAAACAACTTCATTTCTTAATAATTTTACATGTCATGTTCTTCATGAATTCTTCTTTTTCCTTAGACATTCAAAGGTTTTTGATGATCTTCATAGAGTCGGACTTTTAGAAACCTCCTCTAATAATCAGTCACTGGAAAATATTGAAGCAGTCAACATCGTTTATAATGAATATGATAGGGAGATCAAATATAATTTTTCTAGATCAAAACTAACTGAATATTTATTACATTTGAAATTGAATCCTATTATTACACAACGTTTATTAAATGAAATTCATTGTTTAGCAGAGAATCTTAGAAGTAATAATAATAATAATAGTTTTATGATAATGAATTCATCAACTATTGAATTGTTCGAACAACTGGAAAACGTATTTCAAAAGTATTTTAGTCAATTCAATATCGACGAGTTATTCCTTTGTATTACTGGTACTGATAAAAATCAACAACGTTGGCCTTGTCTACTCACTTTACTGCATGGTAATCTTATTAAATTTACTCTGATTGAAGAATTGAAACTTATTAACGAGGTGAGATTTTATCTGAAGAAAAATGAATGCATCGTTTTTTATGAATGTAACTGTATGTTTGGATCTTTTGAGAGCCCCCTGAATGCCCTGGTACGGCCGAGAGTGGGGAGAGTCCGCTCTCCCTCTCGAAATACTCTCACACGGCCACGCGTATACAGCCTCTGCCAGGGAAGTCCTACTCATTGCCTTCTCGTGGCGGGGGTGTTGTCTACGAAAATGAGAGGACGAAAAGCGAATGTCCGGCGCTTTAACCGGTTTCCAAATCAATGGTGCACATGGGCTCCAGTATCCTGCGGGAACGAATGGCGTATGAACCAATCGTTGGTCACCGGCTACCATGGGACTGCATCTCCTTACGATGCTCCACTGCCTTGTGGGTTAGACCTTTAGGTCAAAGGCTCGGGGAGTGGCCCCCTAAGATAACCACCTGCTTCGGTTTGGGCACCCGGGCAGTATCACAGCCCACACACAAATTGATGAACTCTTTATACCTATGGAAATTACCTTTCTCGCTTTGAAAAACAAACAATTGATTCAGATTATTATCATTACAATTATTGTCATTATTAATACTAATATTATTATTACTACTATTATTGTCATTATTGTTATTATTATCATTATTATTATTATTATTTTCCACATTATTCACCCTCTTTTATACCTATACAGCGGCTCGTCTTTGGTGGAAATCCGACTGTATCTAAACGTTCTCGAGTCACTGTCCGGTTGAAAATTGTATGTTACCACTGAATACGAGGACTGAAGCAGATTTTCTGAAACCACGTGCACCATTCAAACTGGCTGCCTTCAACGTTCGCACATTTATGCAGGTCGGACAACAGATAGGGCTGGCTATGTCTTTGGAAAGTCTTAATATCGACGTGTGTTGTCTATCCGAGACCCGTATTCAAGACTGGCAAAGTACTACAAATTCGATCTCCATCTGTCGCTTCGAAAAGCTTGTTTTACGTGCGCTTATCCGGGGACCCTGTGGCATCTTCGTCTGGTCTTGCTGGCGTTGGTGTCGCACTAAGCGCTAGAGCTGAGGCAGCACTAGTCGATTGGATCCCCATTAACAGTCGGTTATGTGCTGTTAGATTAGAAAGTTCCATCAAAGTGAGAAGAAATCGGCGTGAGAAACGATGTCTTTTCGTCATCTCCGCCTATGCCCCGACAGATTGCAGCCCGGATGCAATCAAGGATGAGTTTTACCACCAGTTATCAGTTCTTCTCCAGAAAGTGCGTTCGACAGATATTGTAGTACTAGCCGGAGACTTGAATGCTCAGGTCGGGTGTCTAGGCACAGAAGAGAGTCGTTTAGGTGGCCGATGGGGACTCGTTGGTCGCAGGTCAGATAACGGGGACCGTCTACTGCAACTGTGCACAGACCACAACCTGTTTCTGGCTAGCACTAACTTTCGGCACAGTCATCGCCGATGTGCCACCTGGCGTCCTTCCTCTGCATCTCAAGCCTGGACTCAGATTGATCACATCGCGATCAGCTACCACTGGCGTGGTTGTGTACAAGACTGCCGCTCCTTTTGGAGTACCTATCTGGACTGTGACCATGCCTTGGTCTGCGCCAATCTTGCCTTACTTTTCAGTGGACAACGAAGTGAACGCCATCAACGGATTGATGTTAGCAAGCTGGTTGCAACTTCTGTTGCAAGTAAGTATCGAACCGAGCTAGCCTCTAGGCTAGCTACCACTCCACCGAAAAGTATAGATGAGCATTGGTTGCAATTGCATGACGCCATGAAAATGGCGAGTACAGTCAGTTGTGGGATCGCGAAACGTCCCGCTTATAAGCACTGGGTTTTTTCAGGTTCCTTATAACTCATTGAAGCCTGTCGGTCTACTCCGGGTAACCGTGAGTTTGACCATAAACGAAGGATGCTATGTAAGGAAATCGGGCAAAGCTTGCGTAAGGACCGAGAAGCCTGGTGGTCGATGCGTGCTAATGAGCTGGAAGCAGCAGCTGCATCTGGTAACTACCGGAAGCTCTTCCAGCTCATCCGAGCCACTGGCAGCAAGAAGTCTGGTGTGAGTGAAACAATCTGCGAGGATGATGGGATGCCAATCACTAACATCCATCGACGTCTTGGACGATGGGCAGAATTTTTCGAAGGGCAGTTCAACTGGCCTGCTGCTCCGGCAACATCGGTCAGACTCCTGCCCTCCATGGCCGGTGACGACTGATCCACCAAATGAGGTGGAAGTCCGCAAGGAACTCCAACTCTTGAAGCGTTACAAATCACCTGGCCCAGATGACTTACCTCCGGCTCTTTTTAAAGATGGTGGTGACTTTTTGACTAAGGAATTGACGACGTTGTTTGCAAAGGTTTGGGAACTAGAGAGTGTACCAACGTCATGGAATGAGTCGATAGTTGTCCCTATCTTTAAAAAGGGTTCACGTCGTTCTTGTAACAACTATCGGGGGATAAGTTTACTTCCGATTGCGTCCAAGCTATTGGCTTCCGTCATTCTTCGTAGGTTGTTCAAAACCCGAGAAAGATTGACTCGCGAGGAGCAGGCTGGTTTTCGTTCTGGTCGAGGATGTATTGATCATATCTTCACCCTCCGCCAAATGTTAGAACACCGTCATACTTTTCAAAGGCCAACAATCGTAGTGTTTCTTGACATCAGGGCTGCATTCGATTCGTTGGACAGGGCTGTTCTCTGGGATTGTCTATTGAAGAAGGGTGTGCCTGAGAAGTTTATTAACATCCTAAAAGCCCTGTATAAAAACACCTCAGGCAGAGTGAGGGCATACAACCACCTTTCTCCATTGTTCCATTCGAGCAGTGGGGTTAGGCAGGGTTGCCCAATCTCACCATTCCTCTTCAACTTTGCCATCGATGACATTCTGGAAACAGCTCTGATGAATGTAAGTAATGGTGGTGTGGATCTGTTGCCTGGAGAAAGACTTCTCGACCTTGAGTATGCGGACGATATTGTCTTACTGTGCGATAATGCCCAAGGCATGCAATCCGCACTTAATCAGTTGGCAATCAGTGTCCGTAGGTATGGTATGTGCTTTGCACCTTCGAAGTGCAAAGTACTTCTAAAAGACTGGCAGGATTCTAATCCTGTACTCACGCTGGACGGTGAGCAGATAGACGTAGTTGAGAAGTTCGTGTATCTGGGTAGCTGCATAAGTGCTGGTGGGGGTGTGAGTGATGAGATCAATGCACGAATAGTGAAAGCCAGAGCGGCTTATGCCAATCTGGGCCACCTTTGGCGCCTTCGTGATGTTAGTCTGGCTGTAAAAGGCCGGATCTACAACGCGTCGGTGAGAGCAGTTTTGCTCTATGCTTGTGAAACCTGGCCTCTCCGAGTTGAGGACGTTAGACGACTCTCTGTGTTCGATCATCGCTGTCTCCGAAGGATTGCTGACATTCAATGGCAACACCATGTCAGTAATGCAGAGGTTCGGCATCGTGTGTTCGGGCACAGAGATGATAACTCAATTGGTGTTACCATCTTGAAACACCGACTACGGTGGCTTGGACATGTTCTACGAATGTCGTCCCAGAGAATTCCACGTCGTGCATTATTTGCCGACTCTGGGACTGGTTGGAGAAAGCGGAGAGGTGGTCAGTGCATGACATGGTGTCGTGGCATGAAAGAAAGCTGCAAAGGACTGGCTTGTGTTGGTCCTTCACGACTCCCTGGTTGGGGTCCGAGAGATGGTGCTACACAGTGGCTAGAGACGTTATCAGATATGGCTCAGAATAGAAGCCAGTGGCGATCCTGCTGTAACCTTCTTTTACTTTCTTCATAAAAAGTGGTTGTGTCTCCTTTACCTGAAAGATTTCTTCTGATTGTACCTTGTCGTTCCGTCGTTACTACCACACTACCTTACTCCAATCTCTTCGTCATTGTTCTCTTTTTCTTTTGCGTTCCTTAGTTTTTTTTTTTCTCTTTCTACTTTTCTTCGAATTCCCATTGTTTTGTGTGGCGCATATATATTGGCGCTCTCTTGTACCAATATTTATGTGTTCAAATAAATAAATAAATAAATAAATAATAATCTTTTGAAAAATGCTTCTAAATTCCTCTGGAAATTCAACTTAATCTAGCTAATAGACGGTTTTTTGCATTCTCATTTCGGATTTATTTGAGCTCATTCGAAAGCACGAAACCTCCTTATTAATTAATCATCAAAAATAGTCGACTTTCTCCTGTTTATTTACTAGTATCATAATTAGGCGGAGAAATGAATAGATTTTCTGGATTTTATTCGTTTTCTTTGATGTTAAGTGCTGCTGGTTAGGAATAACCAGTTATAGCACCAATTTGTTTTGTAGATTGTGAAGTGACCTACTTGTGACATCGTCCGCAACAGAACGATTTTCATTCACAAATCAGATAAAAATAATGTACAAAGTGTGATTGAAGTCCCTAGAAAATGGATCTCTGAAGCTTTCTGTTATAAAACAAAATACTTTATTTTCTATTGGTTCTTTTAGCAAAACGATTGTTCAGTCTGAATATTTTGATGACTGACACCGCAACAACAATTAACTGGTCATTTATGTGAATCTTATATTCCTCATTAACATACATTTCAATTTATATCCAATTGAAACCTTTATCGGTTAGAATAAATACTTTTTCTGTCTGATTAGACAATCTAATTTGTAAATAAGAACTTTCGTCTAAAGTTGAACGAATAGTTTCACAATATTTGGGCGCCGAGTTAATGTGAGTCATTAAAGAGGAATAATATATATTTGTAAAATCTCAGCCAAAGGATTTGAAGTAATTCCAACGTTTCGCCTGGAAATCTGGTCCAGGCTTTTTCAAGGAAAATATAATCAAACATGAAAATGATCGAATATCAGTATACAGTAAACCGAAGAACCATGTACCTATTTATATTTCCTTGAAAAAGCTTGGACCAGATTTCCAGGCGAAACGTTGGAATTACTTCAAATTCTTTGGCTGAGATTTTACAAGTGTATACTATTCCTCTTTAATGAATCTAATTTGTGTTTGAATATTAAAACTAAACAAAAGTATTGTCGTTGGGTTCAATCCAGTCGTATGAATCCTATGGTGATATCCTGTCTTTCTTTATTGAGATAATTTTTGATAAGTTTGTTCAGGTTAGAAATAATTTTCATCACGAATTCAAATTATCTGGAAGAGTTATTAAAAGTCAAATGAACACTACAACTTTTGCCTTGTTTTAGATATATACTCCTTTTCTTAAAATGTTTACTGTTCGTTTGTTTGTTTATTATTCCTCCCCACAGAATATATCATTAGTTATTGAATGCTGTACAAGTATACTAGCCAGTACTAAATTACCATTAATTATACAATTAGTTTGGAGATGTACAAATGTGTTATTGAATGATCACAAATCAACTGGTTTTCAATTGAAAAGTTTAGATTCTGTAAGTTTTGTTTCGCCGTTGTCATGTTAACATTCGTAAAAATATGCATTGGAAACAATCTCATTGTTTACTATGTTTGAATTGAAAAAGTGCCTATTAACTGCCGCTACACTGGCAGTTTTTTTCCTGCTTTTGCTGCTTTGTCTGCTCTAGGAGGGCTATGTGATCTGCATAGTCTATTTCATCCAACTATGTACTAAGTGCTCATTCTATTCTGTGCGTCTTCTGAGATGTAGAATTCTTCATAGTCCAGTCAACACCTAACAGGAAGAGAAAAACCGAGAGTAGACAGCCTTGTCCAACTTCAGTCTTAAATTTGAAGCACCTGTGAGTTACCCTGTATACGTGGGTTTGCAATGCAGATTTTCTTCGTAGTTCCGTATAATGGTGACGTCTTCTTAGGTACTGTATATCGTCATAGATTTCACAAGGTTTCACTATCCATTCCGTTGAATGCTTTCTCATAATCAAGGTATTCGATGCATATCAGCGAGTTCCATTCTAGTGATTGTTCAACAATGATCCGCAATATCGTGATTCGGCAGAATAAGGCGAACCCCGATATGAAATATATTTCAAAGTAATGTGTTTATGTGAAAATTATATTGGATACTTGTATCATGTTCTAGAACCGTCCGCTATCACTGATTGGATTCTAAAGAAAATTATCAGCACTTCCGCATCATTTGCATACAGAACATTTAACTTGAATCATGCCTCAAAGATGTTTGCCTAATCAGGTATATCTGTTCTAATATCTAATGAACAGGGTAGGCTCAATAAACATACTTTTAATCGAGTTTAAAACTCACGTCATTCTTTCTGGGTGTATTGATTTGTATAATTCATTCGTATTGGATTACCATCAATCTTAGAATTTTGGGTACAGTTACGTCAATTTTTAGTTTCTTAATTGTCTTCAACGCTTTTGATTTCAAGTATTCTGTATGATGATGAGTTATTTCTAAGTGTAACGGTGTCCTTTTATATTTAATATTTTTACCTATGTATTTTGAAAGCAATTTAACCCGTGATACATGATTGTTGAAAATGTCGTGGAAATTTCACTTTTATTTCTTTACTTATAACAGCAATGTGTGTAAAGTAATTAAACCTATTAAGTTATCCATATTTATGTCGTGTAATATGCGTTTATGGAGTTCCAATTAGCGTAAATGATCTTCCAAACGTATGTTTTTTTCGTACTTGACTTCTGATCACACTTTTGGTGTAAGGTTACGACACTATCCGGCTTAACAAAGTAAAGTAGACGTAGTGGAGTTAGAACCCGCAAAATGTTAGCTAGAAATTAATTCTTTAATCCTCCTGTTATAACTTGTGACCGCTAATTATGGAGCAGTGACTTATCGATCGGATCAATGACGCGTAAACACGTGCGAGCAGTCTAGAGTCCTGGTTGACCCTGCTTCTCGCCTAGCCCAGCCAGATAAGTCCAGAACACAAGTCTCAACCTCTGCGATATGAATCATTATATTTCAAACATACTCTGTTTATATACCAATCAAACAGACCACATCGTACCATAAAGTAGGAAATAACATTTTACAAGATTTGGCCAACAGGAAAATGACACGTGAAATAAATATTGACCAGTAGGGAAACGACACGTGAAATAAAAATTGACCAATGGGAAAATGATTCTATTTCAAGTTTAAGGATAGCATTAGACTTAACAAGATAATTTTCTGAATATCCCAACACCTCCAAGCCACTGAAATTCTAACAACTCATTGACCTTTTATTAATGGTACTACTCATAATATGAAGTTTGTGTTAAATGAATGGTTTTAAAATATTAGTTATTATTTTGAATCCTCTGTTCGACAAACAAATGAAATCGAGATAGCAAGTTTTCTTTAATCGTCTACTCTAGGGTGATAAAAAAGTGTTCATTTCAATCTGATCCGTTCGTACTTTGTGCTTATAATTTCGCTACTCCAATTTCAATACTATGAACGAAAATACTTATCTTCTCTTCTTTTTGTTACCTAACTGACTAGAGTAAAAACAGCAGTTTAGTAAATTGAACTTTTTGATATTGATACAAATAAATTTTTTATCAATTCTATATCAATGAAAAATGATTAGAATATTTAGAATGAGTATTTGTTAACTAAACAAATCATTGCAGGAATATCTTGAAATTACATAAACACTGTTTACAATGAACAATTTACTGTGGCAGAATTTCAACCTAACTGATATTGACTGTGATCTAAAGTAGCGAATCCCCAACACAACCATGTAGATCAGCGTTGAAGTTAATGAAAGGAAACTATTACAGTAAAAAAAACCAACAAGGCTTTGTGAATTTCCTGTGTTTATCGAAAGTAAATATAATATATATCATCAGAATGGCTCTTCTCGCCGTCTCACCTTTGTGAATACATTATTACTACAAGACCGGAAGGCCCCGGCTTCAATCTTCTATGCAGTCGCTTAATTGATTGACAAGACTTATGATTCAGTTAGATGCTTTTACTGATGATTTAGTCGAAGATGTCACTTCATTCATACATAAACATGGACTAACAGTTCAGCGATATGATATATTATTTACTTACATCAACGTAGACAAATGACAATAGACACACATCTCATTCGGAAAACGTCAAAGTTTTGGTTCACGGAAATCCTAAAGTACTAGAAAATTTCCATAAACATGGCATCTAGATCGCCCTCAAATGCCCTGGTACGGTCGAGGGTGAGGAGAGTTTGCTTTCCCTCTCGAAACACTCACAAGGCCACGCGTATACAACCACTAACAAGGAAGTCTTACTCACTACCTTTTCGCGGCACTGGTGTTATTTACGAAATTGAGAGGACGAAAAGCGAATGTCCGGCGCTTTAACGAGGTTGATGGATATGGAGGGTCCACCTAGGGGGTTCGGGAAATCCAGATTCCAAGTCAACGGTGCACATGAACTCCAGGATTCTGAAGGAAAAATGGCGTATGAACCAATCGTTGGTCACCGGCTACTACGGGACTGCATCTCCTGACGTTGTTGATCAAACCTTTAGGTCAAATGGCTCCGGATGTGGTCCCCTGAGAAAACCGCCTGCTTCGGTCTGGGCACCCGCGTAGTATCACAACGCACACACAGATCAAGTGACTTGTGTGGCGCATATGTATTCGGTACCCCTTTGAACTCATGTTTATGTGTTCAAATAAGTAAATAAACATTTAGATCAACTGGTAATCGATGGATATGTGCCTAATCTGTGAATCTATACGGAAAAATTCAATCGAACAGAACGAAGTAAAGAAAACATACCAGCCAATCTGACTTCATTAAAAAGCTCACAGATCTTGTCGCCGTTGAAATGTAGGGAGTACTAGAGGTTTTTGTTGGGTCGGCTTCCGGAGAACTTCAACGGAGCCTCCAGAGGCCCACAAGGAGCCGAAGAGTCCTGGCCAATCAGAGTGTGATGGAACGTTCTAGAATTCCAACGTGGCGTGCCACTATTGGTCGGTAGCATAATGTGTTGTTATCGGATTGGCTGTAAAATGATGTTGATTTAACAGACGCCAAAATCTATAAATACCCATGATTTTCTGTACAAAAATGAACCTTGGAATAAAGTGCTTTCTCTCATTCTTGTGTCTTCTCTCTGGAGTTCAAGTCGCTGTGTAGTTCTAGACTGCGGGTTATCGGAATAGCTTCGGAATCGTATATAGCGTTCAACCTACACGACTTATCAGTGGCGACGGGGATGAAAACTTCAATGAATATTTCCTTGGAGCAATTAGAAGCTTATATGGTGCGTCAAGAAAAGAGGTTTGAAGAGTTTCATATTAGAATCATGGAAACCCTGATGCAGAAATTCTGCCTGTCCGAGAAAAACCCTGCTTCTAGTGAATCTCAAGTATCACATACTGATTCAGTCATTAACGCCATCCATGAATTTAATTTTGATGGTGTAGCAGGTGTAACTTTCGAGTCGTGGTTTAAGAAGTATGAAGATTTGTTTTATATTGATCTTTGCAAACTGGATGATGCTTCAAAAGTCAGAATACTTCTTAGAAAACTTGGGACTATGGAACATGAACGCTATAGCAACTTCATTCTTCCGAAGAACCCACGAGATTTTAGTTTTGATGATACAGTCAAAACCCTATCCCAAATCTTCGGAGAACAATCATCTCTATTTAGTATCCGTTACCAGTGCTTAAAGTTAACAAAAGAACCAGGAGATGATTGGGTGAAGCATGCAGGAACTGTGAACCGAGAATGTGAGAGATTTAGATTGTCGTCCATGTCTGAAGATCAGTTTAAATGCTTAGTATTTATCTGCAGCCTGCGTTCACCCGAAGATGCCGATATCCGAACCAGAATCCTAAGCAAACTCGAACACTGCCCTAACATGACCCTGCAAGAAGTGACTACTGAATGCCAAAGGTTAGTAAACTTAAAGCATGATACCTCAATGGTAGAAAACGGTTACTGTTTCCGTAACGTCAATGCAGTCAAGAGAAAAGTCTTTCAAGGTTCCAGTACCCATAATTTCCAAAATAACAGCGACAAACCATCATCTCCATGCTGGGCATGTGGAGGTTGGCACTATAAGAGGTTTTGCTCATATAAAGAACATCGTTGCAGCAAATGTCATCGGAAGGGGCATAAAGAAAACTTTGCAGGAGAAGAGACTATAGAAAACGTTCCGTGAAATCTGACTCAAAGAAATACAGATATAGTGCTCCAACCAACAAGATATTGGTATCACATAACAGAGCACGAAGTTGCCACCAAAGAAAGTATGTGACCTTGAATATTAATAAACACCGTACCCGCCTTCAGCTGGAAACAGCGTCTGATATTACTTTAATCAGTCCAGAAACATGGAAGAACATTGGAAGACCCACAGTTTTCCCAACAACTCAGCTGGCACACAGTGCATCCGGGGGGAAGTTACATATTGTTGGAGAAGTGCCATGCACTGTTTCTAAAGGTACGGTAACAACAAATGCAACATTGTAT